GACAAAGACAAAACACTCAAAACAAAAACAAAAAAAAAAAGGACCCCCCCCCCCCCCCGCCTTTTGACATTCCAAAACCCAAAAATGTGTACTGTGGCTTTTCACCCCTTCCAGTGGCGGCTGCTACTTGGGTGCAGGAACTATTGCCTAGCAGCTTCATGGATTTCATTAACCCCTTCAGGCCATGAGATGTATCACAGAGTTAGCAAGACCTCCATTTTTTCATCCAGTTTTAATTTGCTTCTTTCTACGCTCAGCTGACTGCTAGAAAGCCTGAGCCCCGTATTCCTGTCACCAAGCTGGAGTGTTATCAAAAGCAGAAGATGGGAATCTTCTTTAATTATTGCAGAGGAAGCTTTTGTAATTACTAAATCTTCCGGGTGTAATCATGTTTTCAACAGAGTTCTATAAGAAGTACAAGTATTTATCACCACTTTGTATTTAAAATATACAGTAGAAGTCCCATTGTAGTACTTTTCTCTTTGCAAAGCTGCCATCCTCCCTTTTTGTATGATAGCAGTGATGGCAGGACAGTTGTCAAGAGCGAGATATAATGAAACACCGTCTTTAGATGGGAGTCCAGTTAAGAGTGCTTGGTAAGAAAACTTTATTGGCAAGCTGCTTCCTAGCTGAAGTTGCTATAGATATGTTACAACCAACACACTGGCTCGTAATGAACTTCCTTGCCCTGCTTCCCCACCCTCAGAAATCTGTGGTGGCTGCTAGCTGAAAACAGTCTTCTGCATTCACATATTACATGTAAACAAACTGAAGTGTTTCTGAAAATATTTATTGTGGTGGTTGCTGTTGAAGATTCTTATCTTAGAAAATGCAAGTTGCAAACAAAACAGACCATGGTTGTTTACAAACAGCATACAAGTACTTCCAGAAAGCTTGCTATTCGGATCTGCAGGAGTTGGGAGATACTGTACAAATGAACTGAAGTGCCCAGAAGTTCTTTATAAATACCAAAAGCCTTTTGAAAGCTCTTTGAAGCCATTACTGGAAACCAGTATATCTCACATCCACACAGATTTAGTGTGATGAAGGCTTGTATGTCTCAAATGAAATCACACATTTGACACTAAACCTCTGCTAGAGCATCCTTCCTTCTTATCTAATGGCAGAGTCAGGAATGGTGTCAATTAAAAAAAAATTACCAAGATGATAGACATGTTTAGACACAGAATTATCCTCAGCTCTGA